ATATCATAAGATATGAACAATTTGACAGTGTCAAGGTGATACATAATCAGTATTCCATAACAGTGGCAAATGTAGGTTTTTTTCTTCTTTTTTTTTTGTATAAAACCAGCAACATGTAATAGTTGACATGAATAAGTGTCTTTTTTAATCCGTAGGTGACAAAAAGAAGAAAACAATAGGAAATTTTCAAAGAGAAAATGCCCAACATTTTTATATCATTTTGAAAGTCTGTCGCTGTAAGTAGCACYCCCCAGTCTGTCCAACAACATAGGACATTCTGCAATAAGTTCATTTAACTGGATTTTATGCAAGTACACAAGCAGGTCAGCAGAATCCRTCAGAAGAAACATTCATTTACACTCAAATCTGCTCTTCCACCCCAAAATATGGTCATTTGTCATAGGAAAACCAAAATCTTTCAAAAAAGATACTTGACTCACTCCAAAAGAAGACGTTTTTTTGTCTGTTTTGATTTTAAATTATTTGTATCATTTTGTTTACAACAGAGTTTGCCTTTATTTCAGAACACTTCTTTTTTTTCTCCTGCAGGGCTGTAAGCTGCAGCACACAGGTAACAAAACACTTTTTTTCCTAATAATAACTGAATAAGGTTAGATTTAATCACACTACACTTTAATCAAAGGTGGATTTGCGGGGAATAGTGCTCAAGACATAAGCGTCTACCTGGGAGTTATTGTCAGTAATGAACATCACTTGGAGGCCCGTTGCTTAGTAACTATGCCTGTATTGAATTTTGACTCTGATGGCCCAGGGGTGGAGTTAGTTCATCTCAATAGGAATTGATATTTCACATATACTGAATTCCATCTTCTCCATGCAAGACAGCCATGTGCAAAACAAGTAAAATAAATAAAACCACTGCTATTTCAAACTATATACAAATAAACTATTAAAATATTTAATATAAAGTGYAGTTGTTGCCTAACTTTTTCACATATTGGTTGTATGGTCATAGAAAAAAACAAGACCTGTGCTGTCCTCCTGTTATAATTAAATATACTTTTGATCCAAGCAAAATTGAGAACATKTCTTGTTCTGAAGTGTAACCATACAGCAGGTTTAACATTTGCAAGCGACTTATAATGATGCACTGAGACTTTTATTCAAGAAGCCCAGATGCACCATTGCCAGTGAATTGTTTGTGTTTGCTGGTGTCAGGACGTTGAAAGGTTAAAGGGGAGATATCATGTAAAAATCAACTTTTTTGAGTTTTATATCATGTTATAATGTTATACTCTTTTTACCTTTTTTTCTGTAGTGTGGTGCAAATTAAATACATTAATAT